ACTGTCCCGCAAATTACATTTGTCTTTTTCTAACAATTTTAGTGAGTGCAGCTCTCCATATGAATCAAGTACTGTTTATGCTCAGTAAAGTTTAGAAAAAATACATTGGAAAAGCCCTTGGTTAGAAAGCTGACCAACTTGGCTTCAAACCTAGTTTTGCGTGTGTGTGTTTGCGAGCTGGCAGTATCACTTAACTCTATATTCAGTGAAGATGGCACTTACTTTTTCACTAACCCATCTATCGTGAATGCAGTATCGCTTAACTCTATATGGAGAAGAAACCAAATCACTAGCCCACCAGCAGCGCTGAAGGCTATGGAGAGGAAACCAAATCGTACCACCAGTCGCTGGCAGCAAGTAAAGTGTGTCCCAGTGCTTCCAGTCGCACAAGACCTACAGACATGCTCAAGGAGGACACCCAGGAGCCCATGGAGGCTGAAGCTGAGAGGTGAGGGTGTACAAACTGTAACTGATAGACAAGCACATTTCCAGCTTTCCAGACAATAGTCCGGATTGCGCGGTGACCGGGTTACGAACTCCTTGTGGTCCGGGTTCACGCCTGGGAGTAGGCAGAAAAGCCACACTTCTCCCAGATTTCCGGTATTTATCATGGAATCAAAGGGCCGAAGGGTTGCGATATCCATAATACCAAGCCTAAGGGTTAACCAAAAAAAAAAAAAAAAAAATGTATGCTACAGGCTGGCAAAAGAATCACAACCCATGACGATGACGAGTGTAACTAGCAAGACCTGCCTGTGTTAAGAAAGGTCTTCCACAGTGAGAGCATGGGATTTCAGGACCGTTATTGCCATCACCTGTATTTAATGTTCTTCTTCTGAGGCTCTTAGTTCTGAACATATCTGCAATAATTGTCTCCTTTACCCATTCTTCCTGACTTACTTTCCTCCTAGATGCAATACGGTCCGCTGAGTCGGCCTCAATATCTGTATCAGTCATGTCTCGGGGGTGGGTAGCTGTAGCTGCAGTGTAACTGATAGGAGAGAGTGTAATTCCAGTGGTAGCTGGTGGTGGTTGTAAAACTTGTGGGTAGTAGGTGAGCAGGTAATGTTTGTTGTCGCTTATAAATGCTGTTGTAAAACCTGGAACAGCTGAAAAGTGAGGATTAGTTGATAAGTCAGCAAATGGATCATGTTTGAGGTTGTGGATTCCGGGCTCCATTTTGTGTGTGTGTGGTGGGGGGAGGGGGGGGGGCAAGAATAGACCCACTGACTTCTCAAAAGTATGTAGTAAGAGTCGGCTAGGGGAGGGGGTGTCCATTGAAGTCGGAGTGCATCTACCTGAAAGGCAAGGAACCAACAACATACAAATAAGCCAGATCTGTTAAACGGATCTACTCAGATTCTAAAACAATTCTCAAGTCCAGAGGTGGACTAAAAACAAGAAAGATATCTGGCTGGTGTCTGGCTTAGGTATTGGAAACATGCTTATACATAACTCCGAAGTTCCCGGTTTTATCCTAGCTGCCAGTGATTTGACAGCAGACTGCCTTGCATTGATTTCACTTATGGTGTCAAGAGCCTGTTGTTCAGAGAACAGTGGCAAACTACTGAACATAAACATCACCAAGTGAAAATTACAAACAGCTAACATAAATATGTGAAGGCCTGCTTTCACAGCGCAGCAGCTGTATCTGTTTTGGACTACAGTAAAACTTTGTTACATAAACTTGCTTAAGATGAACGCTCAGTTAAAATGAACAAAATTTTGGTCTCAGCAGGGATGCATGGGGGGGGCTTTAGATGAAAATCTGAATAGTGTGATAGAGATTACAGCAACAGTGTATAGTTGTTTTGTCACCTGTCTGTATTGTTGGTAAGGATGTCAAGAGTGTTAAGCATGTGTCATCACAGTCTATGATGTCAGGAGTGTTGAGTGTGGGACATCACAGCGTAATGACGATTTAAAGATGGCCACCCCCCACTTTTGACATGCACCAAAGAGGAGCAGCATTCTGTTTTCACTTTTGACATTCTTAACAACAGTTTTGACACAGACAAGATAGTGGCATAGTTATTGTAATTTCAATGACACTTTTATGATTTTTATTTGAAGCTCCCTCATATTGCGATAAGCCCCCGGTTAGCAGACATTTTTAAAACATAAACTGGATGTTCAGTCCCTAAGAATCCATATTAAGGAGGTTTAACTGTACCTGTCTCTTTGCATCTGACGATACATTTGAATGTATGGTTTCAGAGATGTGAGCATGAATGAGGACGTACATGGAGACTTGGACAGATCGTGTAGACATCACGTAGACACAACCACCTACATCACCCAGGACCTGGGTGAGAAGGCACAACCAGGCAGTGGATTGGGACATCAGGACCCGTTTGATGATGCTGTTATAGGTAATGCAGGCAGTGTGCGGTGAACTGACTTGCTCTGGCTCTTGTGTTTGGGTAATTTATGGACCTTGGGTGAAGCTAGGATGAGGACCTGCTTCAGCCCAGTAAAGGAGTCATAGTGACTTTCTTCTTCTCCTCCACTTCCTCCTCCTCTTCCTCTTCCTCCGCCTCCACATCCTCCGCCTCCACTTCTGCTTCTTCTTCTGCTTCTTCTTTTGCTTCTCCTCCTCCTCCCCCCCCTTACTCCTCCTCCTCCTCCTCTTTTTCTTCTTTTTCTTCTTCTACTTCCTCTTCTTCTACTTCTTCTTCTTTTTCAGGTTCACCGGCTGTAAATTCTGACAGGAAGGTTCTGGTTGTTCATCCACTTGTGGAATTAAGTCTTATTGCAGAACCTAAGTTTGGCCTGCACAACCATTACACAAATTTGGTATATTTAAAAAAAAATGCACTGTTGGTCCCTCACCTCTCAAACAGACGCACTAAAAAATAATCCCTAATTAGTTAATTCTTCCGACATGATGGGGGGGAGGGGGGGGGGGGGGGGGGGGGGGGGGGGGGGGTGGGGGGGGGGGGGGGGGGGGGGGGGGGGGGGGGGGGGGTCAGTGGGTCTGTTCATTTTGTTTTCCACAATTGGGTACTCAACCCACACGGGAAATAGTGACTTTCAAGACATCTTCAAGCTTTGTTAACTTTTCGTCAAGACATCTTCTTTAATTTTTGATAATTTCTTTCAAGACATCTTCATGTTTTTTTTAAATCTTGTTTCTGTGTTGTTTTTTTTAATCCTGTTTCTGTGTTGCTTCAAACATTATTCTTTAAAAAAGTACCTGTCCATTCCACTAATGAGATTGACATTGTAAATATTGTTTGTAGTAATTTGGGCTGGATCTAGTTAGTTAGTGGACATTATCCTCATTACATATCAAAACTATTTAGTCCATAAGTGCTCAGATTGCCTCTTCAGTAAATCCCTCAGTGTGTAGCGGCTGATACGCCAGTACTGTTTTTTTTTTTTTAAATTCTTATTTTGGCTTTCTGCAATGTGCTCTTCTCTGGCCACACCCCTTTTAACATATTTTTCTTGCATGGTTGCAGATTCACAGTCCCCCATGTGGGTTCCGGGGCCCCATTGTGGGTTCCGGGGTCCCATTGTGGGTTCCGGGGTCCCATTGTGGGGAAAACAAGAATAGACCCACTGCCTCCCCAAAAGCATGTTGAAAAGAGATCCGACCTAATTGGGGAGCCTTCCTTTGAAGTCGGAGTGCATCTGACGCCGAGAGGCAGAGAAACAACAGTCTGTATTCAAGAGAATGAGATCTGTAAAACTGATGCACACGCAACACTCAGGTTCTGGAGCAGGACTGCAGTTCAGTAGTGGATGAGCAACCAGAACAGTGTACAGCTGGTGAACGCGAAGAAGAAGAAGAAGATTCACAGTCATTACTTAGTTCTCGCAAATGTCTTACTTCTAACAGAACATTAAGAATTCTAGGGATGGAACACAATTTGTGCCTCATACTTACGTAAATACTGTGTCAGGGTGCATATTGTAAGTTTAGCAGGTTTCCTCAAACATTTTTCTACACTGTGTAAAACATCAACCTGTTTTAGTAACAGGTGGTACCACCATTATGGCCTAATAAATGGCTCCTCTAAGTATTTATATAGATTACTTTTTTGACAGACTCTCATATCAGCCGGTTCTGTGGCTCTTCCACCCTCAACAGTAGCCTTGCCTGCAAGCCTATCAGCTTGCCCATTTCCTCGCATGCCTGGCAGGAAAATGTAACTGGACTTTGTCAGTTCCAAACTGCCTTAAAGACTCCAACCACTTTTTTTTTTTTTTTTTTTAATTGATCACCGGCTGTGAATTCCAGTGGAAGGTCCCGGTTAATCGTCCGCTTGGACTTTGGCTTTTCAACCTGGACCTGATTTTTGCGTAGTGTACAACCGTTTTTCATTTCCCTGCCTCTTCATGGGCAGCTGTACTCCGACTTCGAAGGAAGACGTCAGGCCTATTTCTAGGTTGACTGTGGCCATTGTTTTGTGTGGGTCGTGACGTTGCCTGATTGTGTGTGGTGTCCACTTTTGTCCCCTTCGCCGCAGGTATTGCCCTCGGAGTACCCCTTTGGGGCAGCCCCCTGTGGGACAGTTAGCCTCAAGGGAAGGGGCAGGGGTAGATCATGTCCGGGGCATTCCCCGCCACCAAAGGAGGGCTTCCATGCAGCAGAGCCGGGGCCGCACATGCGCTCTGGGTTCTCTGGGCTCACCCAAGGGAATACGTCACGTCCTGCACATGCCTGCCTTAACCTCACAACCGTATATCAGGCCTCCCGCTCGACAAGGCGCTGCGCCCTCTGGAAGTCAGCGGGGAGCAGCCCGTGGGTTTTGGACTTTTGTGACCACACAGATAGGTAATTCTATTTTCCTCGCACGGGTAGATTTCTTTTCGACGAGCCGTTAGCCCGACAGAATTTTACATCCTGCATCAGGCATATCGTTATCAGTTTTTGTCCCAACACCGGGCGAGTGGGGTCTTTGGGTGTGGACATTCGGTCTTTTTCAGTTCAATACAAATTACAACTTTTGATGGTCAGATTTTGATCCGTATGATCTAGTTTTGTCGGACAATTAGGCTTAGCCATCCGATGGTTGGTTGCTGTTGTGGTGTACCTCAGCGCGCGGTGACGACGACACTGAGGTGTAACAGAGGATGTTGCAGTGGACAATGTTCTCTTTACTCCGCAGTCTTTTAACCAAGGGTTGTAATTTTGGCTGTACGTTTGGCAGACCTACTCATGTTCCTAATGAGTTTTGGTAACATTTATCACCCAAGCGTTTTGGGGGCGGGCTGATGAGAGCCACAAGGACACATCACCTCTGGGGGCCGCCGAACTCCGAGATCCCATCAACTATTTTTTGGCGGAATCTATCGTCGCCTGGAGATCCCCTATATCCTTCCAAATTAACTTACAGGGGCTCGAATTAAATAAGTCTAGGGGAATTATAACGGTCCCTGAGTTCTGGAAAATAGAGGAAGGAGAATACAGAAAGTTAAAGAATAGGGTGAATCCCCGGAAATTTCCTAAAGAAATTCAGAAAAACAACCAAAGTCAAAACTTTGTAAATTTAACTCAAATAAATTGCAATGAACAATCTTTAGTTTTACCTAAGAAGTTAAAATTGATAGGATGAAATCGATAAATGGAGTTTCTAAATAACAACTGTATTGATAAACTACTGATATTGAATTCAACAATTTTCAAATTAACACAGAGAAAATAAATCACGGTGTCATCATGTACACCACAAAACTCAGAACAAACATAAAATTTCACTCAGCTTTCCGATAGTATTGATGAGCGGAAATGTAGTTTCCTTTGGAGGAATGTCCACTGATAAACCGGCAATCAGGAATACGGTTCACGTTCCTCAAGCCACTAGACAAACAGGCCAACCGGAATCCGGAATACGGTCCTCTGGTAAACAGGCAAGCAGGACTACGGTAACACAGGAATATGGTCCTCTGGTAAACAGGCAGGCAGGACTACGGTAACACGGGATTATGGTCCTCTGGTAAACAGGCAAGCAGGGACTACGGTAAACAGGCAACAGGATTATGGTCCTCTGGTAAACAGGCAAGCAGGACTACGGTAATACGGGATTATGGTCCTCTGGTGACGGAATACGGGAACCTGCGGAATACATCATTTAGCCCTGTGTTGAGCATTATGTCGACACATCTGGAGCAGGTGGAGGTGTTGCGGTGTCTGTGGTGTTTTTCAGAGTAGTAAGCAAGAAAGAACAAGGTTCATATGTTGTCTTTCCCTACAAGTAAATCAAAATTATACATCTCCACCCTATTATAATATGTTGGTTTATACCTATCTAAATTATGGCACGATCATATAAAACTTGACATAATTAAGCGGACACACATTCGCCTGCGGATTGGACAGTTATTAGTTCGAGTCCCAAACCCCAGGTCGACTTCGCCTTAACGGACACCAGGTATAGTAATGGGATGTAAAGGCGGCAGGTGTGATGTTGACCACATCAACACCTAGGTACCACTTGGTCTATAAAACATAGGCCAACCCGATATGCCCACAAAGCTGACGACTTTTACTCAAATCATGTGTTGCATAATATAATGACATAAACAATGTAATGTATACCCAACTGATGATACCACATGGCACAGGATAATGGTTTCTACTATAAGATCTTTACGCAAGTAGACCGAATGAATATAAGAGTGACAGAGGGAAGAAGGGTTCGCTATTGAATAGTCCTAACGGGGAATAGTAACTTTAAGAACGTCATAATAGGTAAGGACTAGTGAATTGTCCAACGGACAAGTATCAAGGTTGATGAAGTCACGGACTATTTATACAATGGTAGAATATAGAATAGTAGGATCTCAATAACATATTTTAGGATACAGCTAAGGCTTATAGGGGATCTCAGCTACTCCCTACCATTATAAATCTCACCTGACATCGTATATGGTATTATTATTGTGGGTGTTAGGCCGATGGTATGGCTAGCAATCGTTCTGTGTTGTGACGGAATTAGATCTCCTAGTAACACCACAAAACGTCATAAATTATGTGCGCCTTCGTACCTTTTTATTCTTTTAGCGTCTATGTTTAAATATATTTATTTTACGTGCGCAATTCTTTTAACTAAAACTTGCAATTAACTCTTGCCGGACTGAAATATTTCTCCCGTGTTGTCACATATGCCCCCGGAAAAGAAAATTTCAGTTACGAAATTTAAATAGAGGAAATTTCAGTTCCCAAAGAGTTAAAAATCAAATTATTATTTTCTTGCAATCTCACACATTTCATCATCCACTGGTATTCTGCTTAAGAAATCTGCACCCACGTTTTCCTTTCCTGGAATATACTGGACAGTAAAGGTATATGGCTGCAATAATAACGACCACCTCATTAACCTAGAATTTAATCGGTTAGAAGCTGCCAAGAATGACAAAGGTT